GATAAATTAGGTTAGTAGCCACAAGAAACTGAAAAATAAAAACTACCTCCTAGAAATGCCAATTCATCCATGAACTATTTAAGGAAGGAATGGAACAAATGAGGCTGTATTTTTTTGTGATGCTGACATGAAGTCAGGCATTACACTATGATTAAGAATGCACTATTTAACCTTAAAAAACAGGAAAGATCCCAAACAGGGGGTTCTATTTTTGAATTCTGAATTTCTATAATTATTTCTAATTCTGATTTTACAGTATAACCAATGCAGGTAAAATAGACAAAGAGAAAAAGTAAGGATTTCAAATAATTTAACTTCTGAGGAAAATAAAATCTAGGAAGAGCTATCGACCAAAAAATAAGGCTTACCTTAATGACAATTTAAGTCAGAAAAACAGGAATATACAAGATTTCATAAACCAAAGGGATTATTAAAAGAAGTTTAGTATGCACTCAAATTAATATTAAGGTGCCAAAGAAACAAAACCTACCTCCACGACTATAAAGATAAAACCAATTTTGTAATTGGAGAAAAAAAGAAAAAGGAACAACACTAAGTAGTTGCCCAAGTCATAGGACTTGGTAGGTAAAGTCTTAGAAAATACCAAAAACAATTCAGGTACATTGAGTTTCTTCCCCATCACTCAAAGAACATAGGTTTCCAGCTGCTATTAGCCTGATCTGCTTCCTATTCATTCTAATCAGGAAAGCAGGGGACAAAAAAAACAAGTCAGACTGCTCTAGTCTGTTAACCTAATACAATTTTTCTGGCCTAGTGTACAAATTAAATCAAATCTGTGATTACATTCACTACATTCAAGAATTCAACTACCCAGTCCAACATTCCTTTCTGGTCTGTTTACTGACAATCAATTGCCAGCATATATAAGTAGCCAATAGCAGATAACCTTCTAAATAAAAGGATGAATGGATGACTAAAGGAAGGAGCTTATTGAGTTGAAAGAAAAAGGTACAAAAAGAGAACACAGAAATACCAAACAGCTACCTTACAGATTTGTTCAAAGGAAACCTTTGACTATATCTAAACAAGTATTAACAGTGATAGCCAGAACTGCATGCACCTACCTACCTTAGTAGGAATACCACTTTTCAGGGGTATGATGCAATCCAACCTGGCATGATTCACATAGATGTATTTTAATACAGTGGGCCTTATTAGAAGGGAGATTCCATCCCAGAATATTCCTACTCAATGTATTATTACAGTTACACAGCTTAACCAAGATTGGTGATAAGAGATCATGAAAACAGAAAATAATACAACTGTAACTGTAATGCAATTGTAAGAAGCGCTTTTCTCCAAAAACACAGCACAGAAGAATAGGTAGTAAATATCACACCCTGGTATCACATTTCTTTTTTCAGATAAATGTATTTATTACATCATATGGTCATATTGTACCATCATACCATATGGCTATAGAAAATGACATCAAGGAAATATAAATGGTCAGAACTGAATGTTTAATGCCAAAAGTATAAGCATATTCATTAATTAACATTTCCCAAGTTCCTGAACATTCGATTTTGAGCATCTACAAAGTAATACAAATAAAGAACATGAAATTTGTTCAAGCCCCAATATAAATACTAAAATGTACATTTTATGTCCAAGACATTTGATAAGGATAAAAAGATTTAAAATAACCTAATATTAAAAAAAAAAAGATCAGTTAATCAAACTTTATATGCTACATTAAAAGTTTTACAATATTGCTAAGTTAAAAAAATTCTAAAACCACATACCGCATATTATACAAGCATAAAAAAGTAGAAGCACTACAGAAAGAGTACATGGAATAATTTATACCAATATTTCTTGGTTTTAAGATTATACATGATTTTACTTTTTTGTACTTCAATTTTTTCTAAATTTTTGATAATGAACATGCTTTCCTCTGTAATTACTTTTTTTAATAGCACAGCTAAAATTTCCCTGGCAAACTTTTTCTTAAAGCTGGTATTTTACTGTCCGTGAAGCTATTTAGATAGGCACTAGTGGCTCACACCTGTAATACTAAACTACTTGGGAGGCAGAGATCAGGACAATCACAGTTTGAAGCCAGCCAGGATAATAGTTTGAGAGAACCTATCTCGAAAATATCCAACCAAAAAGGGCTGGTGGAGTAGCTTAAGTGGTACAGCTCCTGCCTAACAAGCATGAGGCCCTGAATTCAAACTCCATTACCACACACAAAAAAAATTTAGAATAACATGGTCATTATACTCAAGCACAATTTCTCATTTATTTCCATGTACTTGACAATGTACATGGTGCATATAAAGACAGTTCAATTAAAAGACCACGGTACAATTTCAGTTTCCTCTGAATTAATATCTACTTCAAACTTAAAATTATTTCTTGGAGGAACTTACTGTGTCACTTGTAATACTTATATCTATATCCAAAAGAGATCCACATGTATCATTTATACCAACCTCCAGTCAAATACAATTATCAGCTCTTATAGAGAAGAAAAACTATCAGTAAACATTAAAACCTGGTTGAAGGAGTCAGTGGGAAACACTTGTCTTAACTAAATAAAATTAGTTAAGAGTACTCTTACAGTTTCAGGAGATACAAACTGTTGGCAATAATGGCGCTGATAGGTTTCAGTTCTTACTGCACCCTTAAGCTTCTGTTTTCCCAAACATGCTTCCCAATTACTGACAATTTAAACTTAACTTCATGTAGTCTAGAGATTCTCAAGCACCAGTATTGGGAATTACCCAGGAAGTCTATCAAGCACAGAAAACCATGGCCCTGAAGCTCACCTACTGAATCAGAATCTTCAGGGGGTAGCGCTCCTACAATCTGGCCCTTTTCAGTAAGACAGTACATCTACTCAAAAAAGCTTTCTGTACAGAATTGCAAACTGTCTGGAACAAAGTTCTCAACTTAAACAATGTCATACATAGAGAATTACAGTTTCAAAACCCCTATCCTTTAATTTATCCATCTTCTTAACCCTTTACTTATCCATGCTACTCCACAGTAGTCCTCAAACACAGTATGATTCAAGAAAACCATGCTACTCCACAGTAGTCCTCAAACACAGTATGATTCAAGAAAACCACACTTATAACTGCAGAGTAAAGCAAGGCCCAGAGGCACCTGTGCTAGTAAGAAGACAAAGGCAATATCCGATTCTTGGAGAAAATAGACAGCAGATGTGACCCCTAACATTTATCCATTAAAAACAATGTATCCTAAAAATAAATTTCCATGTCAACAGAACAAAGCTGTTTATAAATAAGAAGGAATGTGGAGGTGTGGGGGAAGACAAGAGGAAGCTTCAGCAAGTTAAATACCGAAAGCCAGGAAACAAGGCAGAATGAATGGTAACTGGGGACAAGGGAACAGGCTAAACTAGGAAATGAAGGCAGGAGCTTTATCCTTGGCATAAATGAATAGATTTTAGTAGAAACTGATCTGAGCAGAAATGCAAACTGGAAAGTAAGTTAATCAACAAGAAAGACTGAGAAGTTTAGATCAAATGACGGTACAGAACACTTTTTAAGCATTGATAAGACGGTGGGGAACACATACTGAATAGAGCAAGTACACTGGTTGAATTTCCAAACTAAAGATGATGAAGCAGGAAAAAGAAACTTGCACAGAAAGAAGAAACAGTGAGGCGCTATGAGAATTAGGAAACAAGATGTAAGAAGCAGGAAGAAAAAAAGAGAACTTTGAGCATAGTCAAGGGAATAAGTCACACTATCTAATCAGCAACTGTAAAGCACAACTATACCATATATTACATTGTAAAAGTATAAGAGTAGTATTTTATGTAATAGGATACCAAATAATAAATGTAGACAATTTTAGGTGATTCAAAAAAAAATGTAGATTGACAGTGACAAGAAGCTGAATAATGCAAAGATGGCCTGAAAGAAGCCCCGTACTAGGAGAGGGAAAAAAATGAAAGGGAAGAAAATAGGATGACAAGGAGGGCAACGCAAATCATTCTATTAAAAAAAAAAAAGGGGGGGGACAGGAAAAAACAGAGATGTGAGGACAAGTTAAAAAGTGCCAGTAGTGCAAGGGTGCAAAAAGCCAAGTGAAACCTGATGGAATCTTGACAGCTTCAGGGTTCAGAAAGTGAGTAGCTCCAGAGTGGCCAGAGGATTTGTGAAGATAACAAAAGATAACGATGTTAGGGAACGGTGGAATGAAGAGGGCCTCAACAGGACTAGGATAAGACAAGTGCAAAAACGCTCTTCTGGCAAAGCTGAGGCTAGAAGGCAGGCAGGTCCGCCAACCCGCAAACCAGCCGGGCTGCGGATGAGGACCGAATGGGGTTACCAGTCGGCTCTAGCAAACAAGAACCAAGGACCAGAGACCGGGATGCAAAAACGCAGCGGAAACAGCAATCTGGGGTTGCGAAAGTAAAGACTAAATGAAAACCTTCCACAGGGCAAAACAGGTGAAGAGAAATCCTCAAACAAGCAGAAAAGTGGGAGGGGGACAGCGGCCCGAAGGGGAGGGGAATGATGCGCCCCGTCATCTCCACGACCAGGTAGTAATTACACACCGCAGGGGACACGGGCTGGGGTCCCGGCCCGGGTCACTACCCTGCACATCCACCACCTCGACAGCGCCGCTGGTCACCCCTCATCCCAAATAACGAAATATCTAAGGGATGCAGAGCTGGATACCTCAGCCAGGAATGACCTTCTCCAGCCAACCCCGAGTTTCGCCCCCTACTGCTCGCCGCCTGCTCAACCACTGCTGCCCCAATCCCACATCTGGGGTGGGGGCCAGGGAACCCCCCCGGGCTATTGTGTGTGTTTACGTAGCGGGGAGCCGCATGACGGAGAGGGACACGCGGGCGATGCCCATCTCTCACCCCGGCGGAGCCGATGGGAGAAGGTGGCCGAGGGTACCCAAGCCCCCTCCGCCGCCTCGGTCCCCCAAATAAACACCAGCCAGCCGAGCCCAGAGACCGTAGGAGTGGGGGTGACGCCCGCACTCACCTCCTCCGGAATGGCAGGGTCCGCAGCCGAAGAGGCCGCGGCGCCGGCCTCGGGCTCCATGTCCCCGTTGAACAGAACCTGGCCCTGCTCCGCGCCGCCGCCGCCGCTCAGCGCCGCCATCTTATAACCGAAAGCCGGGCCCAAGCGGCCGCTGCTGGGCGGGGAGGGGGAAGAGAGGCGGAGGACGGGGGGAGGCGGGGGCGGAGGAGCGGGAGGGGCGGCCGGGAGGCGCCGCAGGCAGGAGGGCGTCTAGGCCACCTCAGGTGCCCGCCGGCGGCCCCGGGCACAGCCTGAGCCTGAGGGGATTGGGGGAAAGGACCCGGGGCGGGGGTGGGGGGTGGGAGTGGGGGGGTGAGGAACTGGCGAAGGGGGCGGAGACGACGAGAAGTCGCCGCGGCAACGGCGTCACCTGCGTGTCACGGTCGTGACGTCACCGAGTGCGTGACGTCATCGGAGGAGCGCCCTCACGCCGTTGTCAAGGGTGGTTCCTTCCCCTGCAACAACCCTCGCGCTCACACGTTTGCCCGCCCCCCCCCCCCGTTTCCATGGTTCCCATTTCCTACTTTTTTCGTCTCCTCGGTCCTCGGCCTGTTTTGTAATGTGGGATTTACTAGAGGAGCAGGGGTGGTGTTCCAGAAGTTGAAATCCTAGAGCGAGGAAGGCGGGGAAGCCCATACTCCTTGTTATTTCCATTGCAGCGAACGTCTGGGTGTCGTAAAAATAAGACTTAAAACCCCATCGTTGGAACATTCAAGCCCAATTTAATAGAAATATATTTTGGAACAGCTAAATTGTCAGAATGGTGCTTGTACCCTTCCTTAAAGGACTTGACCTGTTAGAGTGCGTGTAAGTGGAAGTCTGAAAGCTTTTTTTTTCATCCTGGAGGGAAAAAATATGTTTTCTTTTAGTGTGTTGTTCTTCTTCTAGATTCATTCACTTAATAAATGTCAAGCGGGCGCTTTCCATGCGCTAGGGCCTCTGCAAAGCACATAGCATTCTAGACACTTCAAGCATCAAAACCAATCGTTTTTATTTTGAAAAAAATCATCTAAAATGTTGTATATACTCTGTGCCTTTCGTGAGCAGAATAGTCCAAGGTATTTTCTGTACAAAATAGTCATGAAAACAATTAGGTGAGGAGAGGTAAATTTTCTGTGACAAGACGAATTCATTGTTAAAAAATGCATTTAATCTAAAAGGGGGAAATCTTTAAGGAAGAAAGAAGCAGGGATGAAAAACAAACAAGTTATTGCTGATGTGCGATTAATCACCAAAGTAACCTAAACGCGAAGTCATGAAAGCTTGAGTGGGCTTCACCTTTTTTCATGTGCTTCCTATGGGGGGAATGAATTTAGAATATTCAAGAGATAGGAAGCTGTCCTACTAACTTCTGAAACGGGATGTCTCCCTATTTTATGGGGTTACCATGAGCCTGGAGCTGATACTGCTCTCAGGGTAAGAGGTATGTGTGTAGATGCTTGATGAGTCAGTTCCTATGCACTGAAAAATACCACCAATCAAATGAGTAGCCTATGCTTTGTCAACTTCATTGTACATTCTCTTCCAAGGAGGAACGTTTCCTTGAGGAGCTAAATTTAATTCAGAAGGTGGTTTGGCAAATACAGAGTAAATGAAGATGACCATAGGGGCGTAATTCAGCTATGCTAGTCTGAAGCACCCTTCTTTACCATCAGGACATACTTCCAAGCAGACTAAAGTAGTGTCACCAGCCAGGCAGGGTTCCTTCCTGCTTGCCTCTGTCATAAACACAACGGGCAGGGGTTTTTTTGTTTGTAGTCTCTTAACTGTCCTGTCAGTTTTTTAAATTAGCACTTAAAAATATTTTGTCATTATAATACTTCCTAATAACATTAAAAGTTCCAATATTTTTTATCCCTTTTTAAAGGATCGCTTTATTTATTAGCATCAATCTACATATCAATCACATCTTACATGATTATTTCTCCACAGGATGACTGCTCTTGTCCATTTAATATTGATTCTTGTTGCGTTCCATTCATTCCACATTTTACGACATGTCTTCAAATCCTGGATATATCCAATTTCCTTAGGCCTCTTCAAAGTCCTACAGTCTCCAGAAGAGAGACAACAGAAGAAGCTTAAACTTTGGAGTCCAAAGATCAGAATTTTAGTGTCAGCATGTCAACATCTTGACTATATAATCTCAAAACAGGTAAATTTAAATTTGTTTGTTACTTTGCTTTGTTTTTTAATCTATAAAATAAGAGTGATAATAATGTCAACCCAGTCTACCTATTATTGTAAGGATCAAACATCATAGTTTTGCCCTCTGCAAAGTGTAAAATACCCTGTCAGAATTCAGATAAGGCATAGCAAAGATGGCTTATCTGTCCTCTCTGTCTTCTGGGCCTCAGCTGAGGAAGACTCAATGCCTGGGCAACCCCAAGGTTAAGATTGGAATACTCTGGAGGCATATTTAGTATTGTGGCTGATGGCTGAAACAGGGACCTCAGCTAGAATAACCTAAACATACTTTCTTTATGGCCTGAGCTTCCTTCTAGCATGGCTGCCTCAGGGTGGTTGGACATTTCACAAGGCAGCTAAGAGCTGTATCACATTTTATGGTCTAGCTTCCAAAGTCACACAGCATGATGTCTGCTGCATTTTATTGAATATAGGTAAGTTACTAACTCTGGCTGAAATTCAAGGACAGGGCATGTAATACCACCTTTCAATGAAAAATATGCCAAAGAATTTTCTCAGACATGTTTTAAAATCACCACAGGTCTGCTCCCAAGGAGATTTCATACCCAAATTATCTCCCCTTGTTACAGAGAATCACGAAAATGTGTCTCAGTACAGTAATGAGCAAGCCTTTACCTTTTTTGTTAGCTTCTGAGGCCTCCACTGTATGCAAAAGTAGACATAGGTCCTTTGTCATTGGACACAGCCTGTCTCCTCCTGGGTAATTCCCCAGTATTCCATGGATAGTGTTGACATGCTGACACCTTCTACCCCAGTGTTTTTCAAGCCTATAATGAGCCAAGCCAGATTGTAGTCTGAACAGAAACCAAAAAATACAGCTCCCTTTTGTGTTGTAGTGTGCTGTATTATCTTGCATTATAAAGTCTTGTGGGCATTTTAGTCAATAAATTATAAACAGTATGTTAGCTTTTGGCAAAAAAAAATAATAATAATAAGGGGAAACTATAGTCTTAAAACACTTTCAACCCCCGCATCTGTGGGTTTGCTTTCTGTGGTTTCAGTTACCTGTAGCCATTCATGGTTTGAAAACATTAAATGAAAAATTTCAGAAATAAACAATTCATGACTTTTAAAGTGCATGTCACTGAGTAGAGGGATGACATCTTGTACTGTCTCACTCCATATCTCCTGGAATGTGATTCATCCCTTTGTCTGGCCTATCCACACTGTATAGGCATACCTGCCTGTTAGTTACTCTAGCAGCAGTCTCAGTTACCAGATCAACTGTCATAGAACTGTAACGCTTGTGTTCAAGTAACCCTTATTTTACTTAACAATGGTCACAAAGTGCAAGAATAATGAGGCTGGCAAACTAATTGCAGTATGTTGTTATAATTGCTTTATTTTATTATTAGTTATTATTCATCTCTTACTTTGCCTAACTTGTGAATTAAATTTTATTGTCATAGGTATATGTATGTATGTATAGGAAAAAACACAGAATCTATACAGTTCAGTACTATCTGTGGTTTCAGGCACCACTGGGAGTCTTGAAATTACTGTGTGTGTGTGTGTGTTTGAGTGTGTGTAGCTGAAGGGGTAGAGTAGAAGTAAGACTTATATGAGAATGTCTTTTAATATAGTTTAAATTTATGAAACATGTAAATAAATGACAAAGTAAAATCTAAATAAATGAATTTAATTGTATATCAAATGAATAACATAATTTTACAGAGAAGATGTTTAATTCAAATATCTTTTGAATATAGTTACTGACTATAGGTTTACACTGTCAAATTAGCTAAACTGCAACTATCTCTGAGAATTCCGTTCTGTCATGTAAGATCTACTCCACCATTCCTTAAACATATCCCATGGTAGCCAGAGCAAACTTCCTTCATCAATGCTGTAAGAAGTGCATTCATGAGGGTAACTGTGTTAGCTCTCCTGTAGAAGCTGGAAATGATGATAATTGCTACCATTTTGATGGGATGCATGTCTAATTCTGTGGACATCCACTTACCCTTCAGGACCCTTCATCATGGCAGCTGGGGTGGGAGTCCAGGGCAGTGAGAGTCTAACTTGTTGCAGTCCTTTCTTAGGAGTTCCATCTCAGCTCACAGGTTTCACTTTTGCTTGCTTCTCCCATTTCACCTCCATCTTTCCTTCCTCTCTATTTGTTCTGAGGATTTTAGATTCCAGCAACAGATATAAAACACTAGCCTCACATGATCTATTCAATCATTTCCATAAGATCAAGTCCCTGTAATAAATCCCTTATCATTAATATTTCCTAGTCCTTCCTCTTCCAACTGAATACTGACCAGAATATGTTATAAATATAAAACAAACTACAAATAAATCTTTAACATTATTTAGAAGGTTTGTAATTGGTACTGGTATTGGTTTTGCAATTCTGAACAATTTTGTATTTGTTATGGGATAGCAGTTCTTACTGTGGGAAAAGTAAGAAACGTATGTTCCATTATGAAACAGTGGAAAGACAAGCAATAATTTTGATAATGGATTAAAATGGATTTTTTTCAAAATCCATAAGTCCATAGTCATGAGAGAGAGGCAGACAAACAAACATTGAGAGAGACATTGAAAGAGGTTGAAAGTAAATCTTCTCTTCAAAGAAGAATGCTTGATAGTTATATATGGAGAAACAGTGATAGATTTTTAGAAGTCACCATTTTACAATGACCAGTGTAATAATTATTCCAGGTCAGACCCATCAATAGTTGCTAAAATTATTATTCAGTGAAAAACACTTGGGGAACAGGACCGTTGTATGGTTTTATAATATCATCAAGTAAACCTCTTATTAATTACAAAGAGAGAAGTGTACCTTTCGTGGCAGTCCCCACATTAAGCAAGCTATCAAACTCACCAATAGGAGTACAATTCTACATTATGTAAGTCCTCGTGTCATGCGTTAACTCCATGGTATTTGAGTCAAAAATAGTTTAACTGGAGTGTAATCCTAGGAAATAATCAAATCTAGAACATCAGACATTCTACAAGACAAATCTTCAATCTTGTACGAAAATAAAGTCACGAGTAAGTGACTATTCTAGATTAAAAGAGATTAAAGAGATGTAAAAACCAAATATAATTCATGAAACT